ACAAGAAGGTTCAGATTTAAATTCCAAAAAACCCCAAACTTTATTATTTTTAAAACCCAAACTTCATCTGTAATAATAGACCAACGTTGTTCAAATAAGGCAAGTCTAGCTGAAAATTGAGACACGGCTAGTCATGCTGGGCCCTTCCTTTGAACGAAGGGCCTTTGGGGGGAATGTCCCTGATGCCCTCTCTGTCTAGACTGCTGTTTTCTAGACTGATGATGCGACCTGTATTGGGTGCGGTATTGTTGGTTGCTGGAGGGTTGAAATCTATACCCTTTCCCAAAAGGAGTTTGTTGGGTATGCCGGGGAAAATACCTGGGCTTAAAGGTTGTTGTTTGTTGAGCAGTTATACCCAAGGATCTTGTTGTGAATCTATTTTTACGAACTTTCTCCAGGACCCAGTCAGTTTGCTCGCTGAATAGTGTCTTCCCTCCAAGGGGGGGGGGGATTCCACTCAAGCCCTGGTGTCTGGAGGAAAAGTGGAAGCCTGTAGCCAATAGTGTCTTCTAATAACAATAGCTGAGGCCATGGGTCTACTAAGGGCATCTGCTAAGCATCTTGAAGCACTGAGTTCCTGCTTAGCAAGCTTTAGACTTTCTGATTGGATGGTCTTAGCATGATCTTTCTTGTCTTCTGGAAGGGATTCCATATACTGGGTCATTTGACCCCAAAGGTGGGTCTAGTAGTGGGCTATAATAGCTTTAAAATTGACTATAAGGCACCCCAAGGCCCCAGAGGTATACGGCTTATACCCTAAAGTATCTAATTTGTGTCCCTCTTTGTTGTGAGAGGAGGATGAATTCCACCTAGATGTTTAGAGGGAAGGACCTCTGTGACTATAGAATTAGGAGGTGGTTTAGGGTTGCCTGGCCTGTAGGGGGTCTCCCAACGTCCTTCCAGGAGACTGGAAGTGATGTTGGCCACTTTCGAGCCTACTTTCAGTCAGGGGTGACACTTTGTTTTTTGGGCTTCAAACCACAGAGTTTTGCCCCAAAACCAGAGCGTCATCCCCAACCGGAAGTAGACCCAAAACCAGAAGTAGGCCCGAAAAGGTCAGTTGGGGGCGGGATTTCACCTCCGTGGCCAGCTTGCTGGTGGCAGGCAAGAGCCTACAACAGCGGGGGTTCCCTTGCTCCCATGGGGGGGGGCTGGCAACCTTAGGGGGGATGATAATAGAGGAATTCAGAACCCTCCTCCTTGATCATAAATTTTTCACTTTCTTGGTGGAAGGAAGATGGTTTAGCCCAGACATTGTTCGTAATGTCCCGGATCTCCATCACCATAGGTATAGCTATGGGCCCTGGGTCTGTGGAATATAGAATGTCCATAAAGGGTTTAGGAGGAGTACATTCAATATGTAAGTTTTTCACCATTCCAAATAACTGCTTGGAGTAAAACATATAGATAACAAGCTGGAGTGGATTGGTCTCGCTCCTACGGTGCTTAATAATTTAAATTATCAAGAAGCGCTAAATCTGATGAGATTGAGGGTGACAAACATTGACCGACTCAGCACTTCAATTCGTGCTAGGCGAGTATGCTCCAACTCTGCCTTAGGGATTGTTCCACCTAAGAAAACTCCCTCATATATGAGCTTCCTTACATCCCCCAGATCTAGATATGTCTTCACGCTTGCTAGGTTGAATGTTTTTCCAACTGCAGAGTTAAGTGGCCGTTTTGCTAAAATACAGTACTCAAATAGATTGTGTGATTGTGGATCAGGTGCAATAGAGACCTTAGGTCATCTTATGTTATTTTGCCACCAATGGATTGACCCCAGATCCTGCTGGATTACTCCTATTTTACAAAGATATCACCTCCCTATGGAACCCTGGGTGATAACCATACTATTAGCTGATGAGGACCCTGAAACGACTCGCTTGGTGGCAAAATATCTTTCGATAGTGCTATTTTTAAAGTGGCTTTGAAATGTTATAAGTACCTTTTGTATACAATTTTAAAATTTTAAAACTAATTTCCATAATATGGGATTTTATAGAATTCATTGAAGTTTATAAAATGTGCTCTGATATTACTGATCTAGAGCATGTTTACTAGCTTTTATTGTAAAGACGTTCTGTCTAAATTTCTTGTAATTATATGTAATGCATTTTATAGTTGCTGTTTGCATGTTTGGCTTAAGACCTCGGGTCAATGAACCTAATAAATGAAATGGAGTAAAGTTTAAGATCTTCAGTAGGGGACACCTCTGTGGGATCCCCAACACTCTTGTCTGGTGATGGCATGAAGTTGGTTCTGATTTGGAGTCAGAAAGATGCTCTGTCAAAGTCTCTGGGTTTTTAGAAGGCTGAGTAGATTCATAAATGGAACAGTTGCTTTCTGAGGATTGAGATCTTCTAGATGACCAGGGACATCGAGGAGGTGTTTGACTTCGACTGCTAGGAGCCGGGTCCCATTGGTACCATATGGCCCGTTTGATATGGATAGTCCCAATTAGGTGTCTGGGACTTGGAGACCTCAGGTTGTGAAGAATGCTTCATCAAAGCTATCTTTGGAGTTGAAGGAATGAGTTCAACAACATCATCTGAGGACCCGCTCTCTCTCGACATCAGGGATGGAGGCGGTGTGTGTGGTTGTCAAAACGGGGTTGCACTTGCACTTGAAGAGCTGTGTTGGCATTGAGAATGAGGGCTTCGATGCTGAAGCAACCTCAATTGACAATCCAGGAGAGTCAGACTGTCAACTTTGGGTTGACAATGATGAGCAGCACCAGGATGGATCTGATTGGCATCATGGTGAAGTCGACTCCATGCATCACACCAACTCCATAATTCTGACCAGGTCTCAGAGTCTATATTGTTGTGGTTTTATTTAAATTTTGTGTTTTAGTTGTTATACATATTCTGTGTAAGCCGTCCTGAGCCTCCCTTGGCAGGGAGGGCGGGATACAAATTAAACTAACAACAAACAAATAAAGTACCTTGGGAGTGGCAGTCATAAATGAGTTCTTGGATTTTTTTTCTTCGCCTTTTTAACCAGTTCGGGATTTGGTCTGATGTCTCCAGTTGGGACCTTGTTTTTTCTATAGGGGCTGACACTACCAAAGAAGTCCTGGCCTGTTTTCGAGGGGAATCCGTGGATTTTGGAACTTCAAGAGATTGCTTCCACAGTGTGGCTTTCAACTGCAAGACACGTTCTTGTTGAGCTTTGGGGGTGAGAAGACCACATGCTCTACATGAAGAGGTGTTATAGTCTTCCCCCAAGCATATAAAACACTGAGTATGCTCATCATGCTGTGCCATTTTAGTGCCACAACAGTGGCATTTCTTGAAAAAAGCCATCCCTGTTTGTTCAAGTGAGGAATTGAAAGAATTCTGTAGGAAGAAAACCTACTATTTGTTAATCTCCTGAGGTAAATCTCCTGAAGTAAGTAAGAAGGCTGTAGAATGTCCTTTCTCTATGGCAGCAGGAAAAACACTGAGGGAAGAGTGCTCTCCCCACCCCTCGTCATGTGATCATTTGTGCTGAGGGGAGGGGAAGCACTCAGCTGTAGAATTCTAGAAGCTTGTAGAATTTCTGAATTATAGTCCCTTGGAACATATGAAGCAGTCTTATCCAGAATCCAGTACTTGATTCATCTAACTCTGTACCATCTGATTGACAGCACATCTCCACATCTCACAACATGGGCTACCTGATATCCTTAACCAAAGATACCAAGGATTGAACCTGGAACTTTCCACATGCTGGGCATTTGCTCTTTCGCTAAATTTCAACCCCTCAAGCCTGAAAAAAGCAGTAAAGCTTAAACATCTGGTTATTTACTTAAAACAAGAAATTTTCGACTGCACCTTTGAATATTTCCCCTTTGGTTCGCTGTAGATTAGTGTTGCTCTTTTGTTCTTGGCATGTGTTAAATAATGCAATACTAAACAATAAGATTTTACCAAAGCTGAATTTCTGAAAAGACTTATCTCCTTTTACTCCTTGTGTTAGGATGTACTGCTGCAAATCTTAGCATGGAATATATTTCTCTTAGGCTGGACACCCCTTGAAATGAAGTTGCATAAAAAAGCAGCTCTACATAATACTATAGAAATCTACTCTATGGTTTCCCGCTCTTATTACATTCCCATCCACTCAAAATGATTCAGCATTTGGATCAGCCAATTTTAGTGCACAAGTTAGACATCTTTCTGTGATCTACATCAATGTATGATTTGCTACTGTGAAAGGCTTTTTCTAATGATTTAGATTACCACTTTCAAGACCTCCTATAAATTAATACTTGAAGCTACTAAAAAAAGAATTAGTCATGCAGTCGTATCAGTCACTAACAGAACAGAGTCACTAACAGAAAGTGAGAATCTCAACCAAGGTTGGGGGAAGTACTGAGACAAGGAATAGAGCAAATAATCTTAAGATGCATTTCCATCACTGGCAAGCATGACAAGAAGTCAGGTACATGTAAGGGGAATGCAAACAGGGAGGAAGGTAAACAGCAAACAAATACGTAAGGCAAGACACTTTTAGGTCAACCCTAAGCCTTGCTGCATTTCTCTTTGCTTTCCCACTTTGCCAAGCCTAATAGTAATTAATTTCAGTTGTGTTTAGCACTTAGCTCCTTTGGAGTACTAAGTAAGTAATATGTAAAACAAGTCCAAATAGATAGTAAAAAGAGAGAACAACATACGATGTATGCAGCGTGTGTGCAGAATTTTTCTGTTAGCTGCTTATGCCAAATAATGGAGCACAACTCAATAATTATTTAAGAGAGGGTCAATTAGGTTATATCCCCATGAACGTAGGAACTGCAGAACAGCTAGTTGCCGTCCTTTACCCAAGCCCCTCCCACTTGGACAGTTCTAAATAGCACAGCTTCAAACAGCAACTTGAAAAATTCAAGGGCTCAATATCTCCTTAATATGGATCCGGCTTTTCACACTTCTTTTATTTGGTCTTCTGAACATAAATACAGGTTGAGAAGGCTGTCCATCAAAGTAGAACACACACCCATCAGTAGTTCAGTATGGTACCTGAAATCCTCTGCTGCTCTTGAGAAAAGTCAATGCCTTCACCAATGGAGCTCATGATTTTCTCAATCTGAAAGACAAGAAATGTTAGTAAGATAGAGTCATAAAACTAAGAGACCCTGTCAGAGGGTGTCTACCCATAAAACTGCAGAAATTCAAGAGATATATCATGATGATACAGAAAGAATGAATTCATGGTTACTATCACAGAAAGGTTTTACAGAAATCCATTCCTAGCTTACTACCTAGGAAGCAACTGGGGAAGCAATATTTTCCCCACACTTGAGAAAAATTTAAAGCTTTCATGTTTGTTTATGTGAATGGGAGAACCTTGCATGGGGCCCTTTCATACTTTTTATCTTAAAATAGGCAAACCCCTTTTCCTGTAAACAATGTGCTACTAAAGTTAAAAAGAACTTTAATGGCACAACCTGGTGCTATGCTGTATCTAAAGAAAGTCTGAAAAAGCAAAGGCATTGGCACAAGGATGTAAGACAAATGCAAAAGCAGAAGCATCTGAATAGTGTTTCAACAGCCAGAGAGAAAACCACTCAACCCAGACGAAGTTGTACAGTCATCTAGAAGCTCCTAATTACTTAAAATTCAAAGAAATGCAACAACTGCAGGGAATTTATTTATATCAGACACATTCTGAAATTTTAAAAGCCTCAAAGCCTATCAGAAAGTATACCAATGAGATTTCTTGAGTGCCATGAGAAAAAAAGGACTTCTACCTACAGAGATAGAAATTCTGCTACTTCTGGTGTGCTACTGTAAAGAAAACAAGGAGGAGTCCAACTAAGTCAGTTTGCATGCTCACAATATTAGAAGTTAGAGCACAGAGTAGAAGGACAAGGTTTGCACCTGCCATCACTTGGTTGGTATAATGCAAAAACTAGACACAAAAAATATGCATTTCTCTCCACAATGTTCAGCTGAACTGCTTTGACTCAGATTTTATTAAGCTATCAAGGTTTAGAAAATGCCGCTTCATTGCACTAGAGAAAGAGGACTTATTTCTTCAGAAGTCTTATAGTGCCAAAATAAAAACTAGTTTATAAAAAAGAAGACTGAAGATTCATGTCCTTGACAAATATCAAATTAATGCAGAATTGCTTAACATGGAGTGCAATATTATGTGCTACATAGTCTAGGAAAAACTACTGCTAACTGGATATTTCAGCATTAAACAAGCAGTATGTGTTTTAAACAGCTTCTCAAAGCTCTAACAGACCTTTCAGTTTTTAAATTATGTTCTTGGCTCAAGCTATATCTGAACAATTTGCAGTATTCTGCATCTTCTCAGTCTGGGTTTTAAAGAAATGGTGGCATTATGTTTCTGATCCAAAATCTAGATGGCCAAATGAAAGATCACCTGCAAGCAAAAGTTAGCATTTTTGTCTGAACCATTTGAATAAAAATGTTTAATACACAAAGTTTTCCACATATCTAAACATCTCATACAGGGCCAAGTCAACATTTTCCCATAACCAACACACACACAAAGCAAATACTAAGAAAGCAAAACACAACTGCACAGCTAAGCAACCTCAACAATCAAACTGCTTCCCAGCAGAGGCAAAGCTTTGCAGGATTCTTACATTGGAGAAAGACTGAACTTCGGAGACTTCAGGCACTTTGGGTTGAAACTGCTGGGAAAGAGCAAAACATGGTTTCTGAGGGCAATTCAATCCATTAATTTAAATACAATTTGTCAGGGAGAATGGATGCACCAAAAAGGTGTCTTCCAGCATTTGACGCATAACAAAAGCCAAGAGAAAAACTATCTTGTCTTTTAAAGTCACCCAACAGCAAGAGCTTTTGGTTCTTTATGAACCAGACTGATACCAAGCAACATTTTCATAAGATACAGTTCTTGTCTGAATAGCCTCGTTTAACTCACAAGCTTGGGGTTCATCAGCAGTCAAAAGTAAAAAAATACCTATTTTCTGGGGTCAACGGCGACAATCCCCTTTTCCTAATTTACTATTGTGTTTATGGCATCCACACCTTCCACAAGTACTTCAAAGCTGCCACTCAGATAAACAGTCACTGCAGTCTGAAAGGCTGCAAAAGTTATAGATGTGAAAGACCTGTATAATCATAAGACTTTGGTATCCAAAAGTGTTTTTTACAGCAGAATTTCCTCCTCGAAAATGTGTCAAAATAAGCAGCCCATTTTGATAGTACCAATATGTTTTACTGTTCCACATCCCCAGCCACAAATCCAATTACATTCATCCAACATGAAAGCTCTGCAGCATTTAAACCTAATGGAATTCATCCATTTTGAACAGAAGTGCTCCTCCCTCAGTTGAAATGTGGACACCTGCCAAAAGGCTGCTTCAGCATGTACTAACTAAAGCAGCTTGACACTCTCTTAGATGGAACATAAACAGAACTGCCATGTCTGATAATATCTTTTGCTTTGTCAGTCCCACTTCATGCATAAAACTCTGCCACACAGAATGCCTCCAGGGATACTACAAGGCAACCCACCTTATTCCACTGCTTTGTCTTTGTTAATTTGTTTCAAGAGGACTGTTTAGGTTAAGAATGGACCCTGAACTTCAAACGAAGGAAGTGTGCTGGGATGCTTTTTGTAGCAAGTTTTGATTAAAGGGTTAAGACAACAAACTTCCCTTTACTGTACCTTCACTATTCTAGTTAGACTGAAAACTGACACAACAGCACACATTCATCACCCATTTATTTACTTGAATTCTCTGGAACTTCCCTTGCAGCACTTTTCCCACAAAGGAATCCTCCAACCTAACCCCTCCCCCCGCCTTGAGTATAAAAAGCAATGGCAGATTGGCATAAGAACTACTTAAGGAAAGCGGCTTTTGTCTGTATTTTGCTTTAAACAGTTCTCATGCCAAACTCTGAAATTGCTTCTTTTAAAACTCAGTGGAAGAACCAAGAAATACACCTCTGAAACACTGGCCACAGACCACCCTATTAACTGTCATTTGCATAGCTTGAAGGTTCTGCAGGTATGTCTCACATTCCTTTGAGCCTGTCTTCATCTCACAAGAACCTTGCTTTTAGCTGTAAATGCTGGATCCTGCACCATACATCAAATTTGCAGAAGATTATGATTGAAAACATTATTTTATGCTGTGATTTTAATGCAAGAATAGGCTTGGGGGATATTGATGCTAAAGCAGGTTTGAACGTACAGATTGCAACACATGCCCACTTTCTTAACTGCTCAGTGAAAGGTACAATTATAAATAAGTTTGGTTTAAAGTTTTTGGAACTTCTCTCATTGCTTAATTTACATGTTCTCCATGGTGTCTTTTTTGATGTGTCTAGAGGGTCCTTCACCTTCCTTTCCACTTGTAGGGCCAGTACCATAGATTATATAGCCATTTCTGCTTCTTTAATGAATTCTGTGGCCAAGTTTAAGGTTGTGGACTCTTCCTTGAGTGACCATTGTCCACAACGGCTGATACTTAACATCAATCCCAAGACTTTACTAATTTCAGACCAGGGTTTTGCTGAAGGCATTACACCTAGCCTTAGGAGACTTAGATGGTCTGAACATTTATATAATGTACTAGCCCAAGTCCTCAAAAGCCCAGAACTGACTGCATTGCGATCTGCTCTATTACATCAAGGTACTGATGCCATAAAGATTTTTGCTGAAATCAATGCACAACTTAAGCCATACTTTATAAACAATAGGCCCATAACACCCTCTTCAGCTGTAAAGAATTGATGGTATGACCTCGAGTGTAAAGAGCTTAAGAAGGTGTTAGTTCACACCATGAGACAAACTAGACGTTAACACAGATGGGGCATTATTGTCCCGCCTTTTACAATTAAGATCTCAATACAAAAACCTAATTAAGCAGAAGAAAATGAACTATGCTAAACTACTCTGGAATGAGTTGGAATGGGCGGTCATTGAAAAGAATGATTCTCGTTTCTGGCCCTCTTTGCCAGTCTGATTCATGCATATCAGGCAAAGAATGGTTTACATACTTTAGCTCTGTCTTTGGATAAAGGTTCCCTTGTTCGAAAGCCAGTCGAATCCGACTCTAGGGTTGCGGTGCTCATCTCCGTCTCAAAGCCGAAGAGCCAGCGCTGTCCGAAGACGTTTCCGTGGTCATGTGGCCGGCATGACTAAACACCAAGGCGCACGGAACGCTGTTACCTTCCCACCAAAGTGGTACCTATTTATCTACTTGCAATTTCTTGCTTTCGAACTGCTAGGTTGGCAGGAGCTGGAACTAGAGATGGGAGCTCACCCCATCATGCGGCATCCGGGTCTTGAACTGCTGAACTACTGTCCTTCCATAGCCTGCAGTTCAGCGTCTTAACCACTTGAGCCACCGCAGCTCCATCTGTCTTTGGATACCAATCTTCTATTTCTTCTACTGATGTAGCCAGTCTCCCCAAGTGGGACCCTGTCTCAGAATCTGAGATTAGAAACTTAATAGCCTCTTTAACCTCTGGTAAAACACCCGGGGAAGATTTGATTCCCCCAGATGCATACAACGCTTTCCCTGACTGGTGGTTCCCTGTGCTGCCTAGAATTTTTCCCCAAATCAATGACACAGGTTTGATACCTGCTGGATGGAAATTAAGTATTATCATCCCTTTACATAAAAAGGGACCAAATCTGCCCCACAAAATTACAGACCAATCAGTTTGCTTGATACAGCAGCTAAGCTATATGGCAAATACCTGCTGACTAAACTTGGAAGACTGGGTAATTGAGAATCAAATTATCCACCCCATCCAAGCAGGTTTTAGGAAAGGATTAAGCACCATTGATCACTGCCTAACACTCCACCAATTGGCTTTCTCAAGTATTCAAGGCCCATTGAAGGCTCTACATGTAGCCTTTGTTGACCTGGCCGCTGCTTTTGATTCGATCGACAGGACCGACTGTGGTCAAAGCTCACAGACCTGAACATTGATAATCATTTGTTATTCTTGCTTAAAGAGCTACATAAAGAAGAAGAAGAAGAAGAAGAAGAAGAGATTGGATTTATACCCCGCCCTTCACTACCCAGAGGCGTCTCAGAGCAGATTACAAACTCCTTTCCCTTCCCCTCCCCACAACAGACACCCTGTGAGGTAGGTGGGGCTGTGAGAGCTCTGACAGAAACTGCTCTTTTCAAGGACAGCTCTGGCAGAACTATGGCTTGCCCAAGGTCATCCAGCAGCTGCAAGTGGAGGAGTGGGGAATCAAACCCGGTTCTCCCAGATTAAAGGGTAAAGATACCCATGCACAAGTCAGAGTAGGAACCTCTGCCCCCCTAACTGACAGAATTCCAATTTGGAAGGGTGTGAAGCAGGGCTGCATGTTGGCCCCCTTACTATTTCATATTTACATCAACAACATAGTTGGGAAACTTTTAAGACCTCACTTTACTCCCCCTTCATTGAGCCATCAAATTTTTTTTCAATCCTGTTATATGCTGATGACATGGTTTTAATTAATGGTCTTAATTTCTCTCATGAAAATTGGTCTGAAGAGGCTACTGCTGCACCAACTAGGGACCTATTGTAAAGAAGAAGCTCTCACTATTCAATTTGATAACACTAAGGTCATGGTTTTTAGGAACAGGGCAAAGATCTCCTATTGGAGTATTCTTGGAAATCCAATTAAACAATACAATTCATTTAAATACCTTGGCATTACTTTTAGAGAGACTCTAAACTGGTCCGCCCATGTTGCAGCAGTCAAATCGTCAGCACCAAGACTGGTCTGGTCTATCCTGAGTTTTTACTACTCCAAGGGAGGTCACCTTATAGACCGTGTTCTGAAACTATACAAGAGTAAGCATATACCCCATCTCTTGTATGGAGTCAAAGTATGAGGATGGAATGACACCGTCTTGGCCAGCCTTGAAGTAGTCCAGAAGCATTTTAAAGGCACATTTAGCTCTCCCTAAGGGGTCTCCAGCTGTTCTGATGAGAGCTGAAACTGGTATCCCTTCTCTTAAGGATTGGGCACACCTTATAATTATTAGATACTGGAAAAGAATGGAAAACTCACAAACTAACTCCCTCAGTCACCAATCCTTTAACCTGCTGTTAGCCAAAGATTTGCCACGCCATGATTTTCTTAACAACAATCGTTCAAGATACTCCATCCTCGATGATCTTTTAGGAACATCAATTGATAAATCTCAACTTAGAAACTGGATTTATGATATTGATGCTCAGCTAGAATGCTCTTTGATATTAAAATGAAAAGCAGCACCATGGTACAAACTGATTAAATCAGACCATTCTAGAACTCCATATCTAGTCAACATCTCCAAATACGTACTGAGAACGTCCTTTACTTCCCTAGTTTCAATAAATGCCAATGGCAATTTTGAAGGGCTGCTTTAATCAAACTCCATTGGCCCATCATCTATGTATTTGTGGTACCCATGTACTCGAGGACTTACCTCATTATATCCTCTTTTGCCCACGGTACTCCAGTCCAAGGGCTAAATTTTTAGCAGGTATTTTATCAGGTCTTAGTGTATACCAGCTGAGGATCAAATTTCATTTTTGTTACCTGACATTGATGCATATGTTTCTTGTAAAGCTTCATTATTTGCCCTTGCTGCAAAGAATATACATTCCAAGGTGGCAACGTGAAGGGGGATTATCTAGGTTACTGTATTAAATTAGTCAC